TAACTATTTTACTATACAAAAGTAAAGTTGCTTTTACAATTTACTACATTAATCTAAATTACAAAATGAGGGACTAATTATCGCTAACGTTTCAAAATGTCAACGTCGTTATAGTATACTTATTACGTGCCTAGGCCAGTAAAGTAAAGAAGCCTCAGATTACCAATGAGATACCACTTTTTCAGTTTTTCAGAAAGACAATTTTAGAGTCTCAAGTGTACTTACATTAACCGACATGAAGTAAAACTTTTATCAGTGAATTATCAGAAAAGTTGTTACACTGATTAAAAATAAGCTGTAAAATTAGAAGCACACGAATTTACTGAAACCATCGATGCTACTTGCCCGATTAATTAAGTAAAAAAATAGGGAAAAATTTAACAGAGAGCTTTTTGTTATAATTATGTTTCGTTAAGTGTAAAGTTGTTTACTGACAAAACCTTGAGTCACTTACGTTGCAAGAGCCATTGCGCGACGTAGAAGACTGTGTTATCCCACATAGTAGAGTTGGAGAATCTCTACCACAATGTCTGGAATCTACCACTTTTATTGATTTACGAGTCCATTTTCCGAGCGGGTTGTCGTTATCTTTGACGTAACTTGGTACTACTGCCACTTTGTTCGTAAAATCTTCCCCCCTCAAGGGCAGCAATGCCAAGTTATTGGAAGGGCTGGAAATGGAATCATTTCTGCTTTCAAGCTGCAGAAACGAGTTTTAGTAAATCATAGAAAGGAGTGCCTTAAAGTTATAAATATTACTTTTGAGCTTACTTTCAGGACAGCGATGTCATTTATCAGTCTGCCATCACGTAACTTTTTAAATCCTTTGTGGGAAAACATTTTGGTTGCCAAACGACTCTGAGTGTCATCTACGTTTGTATTCCGAGCCACGACTGTGTATGGCGGATGTCTTCTGAGCCGTCCGTATTCGTTGTAAAAACAACTGGCCGCGGTCAAAACTAGGTCATTTGCAATAAGTGTACCACCACAAAAGTAAATTCCGTAAGTTTGTATGGAGACATCAAAGTTTTTCTCAATGTTTCTTGCTGGTGGGTGGTTATTGAAATTTTCGTACGAATAACCGATAGCTATAAGAAAAATTCAAAACGATTAATTTTTTTTCCGCCCTCGGGTGGTTTTGGGAGGCTGGTACTTCCTCGGGCGAAAAAGCAGTTTTCCGGAACTCGTTCGAAAAGTCTCCTTTACGAACCTCGTTACGTCCCTCGCCTTCGGCTCGGGCCGCAAACGTCTCGGTTCGCAAACAGAGACTTTTCAAACTCGTAGGAAAACTACTATTTTAACAGTAGTTCACTGTTTTAAAACTTCGGATGTTACAAAAATTTTTAATGAATGTAAAAAATCGTAGACTTGCGTCTTTTGAGAGATGGTTTTTGATTTTTTGCAAAAGTGTCTTCTATTTTTAAAAGAACAAGTAACTTACGATTGAAAATGGCTTACAAAAATGTTTTAAATCGGTTGATTTAAATAAAATACGTGTTTTAAAAGTTTGTCAAGAAACATGGCACATGTGACGTGTTTAATATTCAAATTACTTGGACGTAAGGTGCAGTATTACATGCGTGTTGGTAGATTGATTCATAATATGTCTGTATATTTTTCTACTGTTATGTTTTCATATATTGGGCAAATATATAATAATATAATACATAAAAGTGTAACAAAATTTGTCGTTTTATCTTGAAATTTTTTTTAAAGTCTTGTCTCGTTTTTAGGTTTTACAGAGAGTCTATAGAGATCCTCAAGACTTTTAGAAGTCTCGAGAAAAGCTACCGAAATTTATAACATTTTTTCATTCTTTGAGTTTCAAACCTCCTCGAGACGAGACTTTGAAAGGTAAAGTTTAATTTTGCCTCGTCTCGACCATGTTAATACTGATATTTTCACTTACCATAGTCAATAAATGCAATAAACAGAAATGCTACCAAAATGTTGGATACGATGATGCTCTTCATTTTGAATACTTCAAATAACAACTTACGACTCAACTGTAAAGCGACAACTGAAAAGCGCTTTGTTTCGATACTCTATTTATACAAAACGGACGATCTTAGTTGCTTAACTAATTCATGGAATGGGGGGGGGGAGTTAAGAAGTAATTAAAATAAATACTTCCTTTATATATTTTTTTATGTAAATGGTTCCGAATGGAATCCGTGAAATTCTACAGTTATTTAGAGTTTAAGGATTTAAGGATACAATGTTGCTTGCATATATTAAGACAGAATCACAAATACATCATCACAAATACATTTGAATAACATAGTACTCTTTACTCTGATAAACTTCTATGCGTACTTGAAACAGTTGAGCTGGTAAATGAAGTTTACAATTCATAATGTTGATAATCACAACTGAAACCATAAGATAGATGAGACTAAAAAACAAAAAACAAAAAACTTTAACGAATATTATCATTGTGATTAACAGAAGTTTGTTGAGAGAAAAAACAAATACTGTGCTAGTGCTAGAATGGTAATCTGGTGTCATTCCGCCGTCTAGGAACTTTTTACCTTAGCAAACCTACTTTTACCATTCTGGACAGTAATTTCTATTGTAAAAATAGTTCTAAACATTAAAAATTATTGTTCAAATAGTAAAAAGTCTAGACGGCCTAATTTTTGTTATTTTTTTCTCTCAGTGTTTGAGCGATTAATTTTTTTTATGTTATCCTACTATTAATGCGATGTCGAAATTACACGATTGATTTGTTGCGTTAACTGAATTTTCTACATCTACACGACAGTTAGCCTAATACTCGAGATTTAAAAATTTTTATTCTTTTGGATTAGTAAGTAGTCAATAATTTACCAGTTAAAATTTCAAATTGTTAAATCAGTCAACAACTCGATGGGGTTTACAGTTACAACCACGTTTAATATTTAATTCTCATTACTAGCTAGTGACTAACATGGTAGTATTGCACTTTTCAATAAAAATTGGTGTTTTGACTATTGCAGTATACCAAAAATAGATGATATTGATTTGATTGAGGAAATTAAATTAGAAATATTGAAAACTTTTATGTGAACTCAATAATTACACCACATAGTCGGTGAAATTTTTGAAAAAATTGACAAACAAGTGAGTTCGAAACGGTACTATAAAATATTCATAATACTGTAATGACCATGGTAATGACTGTGACATATTATCATACATGACGATACATAGCTATTCATTTATGAGCTTTGGTCATTCATTTACTTTCTTTAATGATTAATACCTCAAAACCTTAACTCCACCCAGTTGACCGTTTCCTTTGTTATACAAATATCTTAGTTAAATAATAATGAAGTAAAAATTATTTTCACAGCTCGAAAACAGGAAGTTAAACGATTAACACGTATTTTTTAAATACATGAGAGCTTCGATGGCTTCGTGGTAGGAAGCATGTTAGCCTTCTACAGTTGGAAAAACTCGAGGGATCGTGGGTTCTCAAATCCAGTTGAAAAGTATCGAGATTTTTTTTTCGTGCTTTTCAATGGGATGAGTACCAAGGACACCGAAAAACCACTTATCCGATTTTTGAAAACAAATCGTGGATTTTTCAGGTGATGCCTGAACCTGAGGCTTCCTTTTTGATGGAAGCCAACACTGGGCAGCCCATCGTTAATGTTACAATCGGTCACCTTTTTTAACAACTTTTCGTTAATACAGCGAATTAAACGGTTTTATTGGAAGAGATCTTTCCATTAAACTTGTTAGTAGCTGGGGTATGCTTGAGCGATCATTGCGCCCTGCAAATAGTACTTGGTAAACTAGACGATCGAGTCGTCTAGCTGGTGACTTAAAGTAGAAAATTACTTCCATTGTCTATTGGTGTTAAAAAACGTTCTGCGTGCTGTCTTCGTTACTAACAAACACTACGTGTGATCAAACGCAGTACTACTTTTACAGTCCAACAAATTACGCGGTACGGACAATTAAATCAGTATTCCATATTATAAAACCTGTGACTCCATTAAAATAGTTTTCGTCACTGGTGAGCATCTTCTCAGTAGAGGGTGAAGTGTACATGTTAAGAAAAAAATGTCCAAGGTCCCGCATTCACCACTGATGCACATCAGGGCTAGGGTTGGTATTGCGTGACTTTTTGAGCCTTTGAGGGTGCCTGAAAAACCTTGTTAACGTGTTGCATCTATGTTCTGCTCGTGTTGCTGTGTGGGTATGATTTCGTTTGTTTCATTAATACCAATTGATTTTTCTTGGAATGTTGTGATTGTAAGTTTCTGTAGAATGTACTTTTGGATTTCAGTTTGTAGGTAAAGGAGTATTATGTAAAATAAACAACCGTGGTAGTCATTTTTTTTTTTTTTTTTTTATTTTTTTTTTATTTTCTTTTCATTTCTTTCTTTTCCAATTATGACGATTATTCCGGACGACTGTGTATTGCGATTTATAAGGTACAAATAGTATAAAGGGTACAAGAGTACAAACATTGCGTAGGAACTAGAGTATGCGGACAAACAAATTTTTTTTTCCACCGTTTGTGCTGAAATTCATTTATATTTTTACACTTTCAGGACAGGTTGTTTTTTTTATTTCTTTGTTAAACAATTTTATGTTCGTATTAACGATTGAGACATCAATTTTTTTATTCAAATCTAGTTTTTCTTTCTTTGTATCATCGTAATCAAAAAGTTCTCAGATTCATCAACGTAACGCAAAATCTCAACGCTTAAATTAATTTCTTAACAACAAAATTAACGTAAAATAATTTGTTATTCACCTTAACTTATGTACCAATAAATTTATAACTTGACGTATATAATGCTAATCGTATCGATCGGCCAATTACAATTCAATCCCAGCACAAACGCAATAGTTAGCCATTTAAATAAGTCTTTGACGTTTCTTTTCTTGTGAAGTTGAGCTTTTTGCATTTAACCAAGTCAACGAACGCGGCTTTTACAATAAATATCATATATATATAGTACAATAGATCAACGCAATAATAATAATTATATACATGTATAGCTTTTGGCATGTATATATATATATATTTCGTGTGTGTATATAATATAATCCAATGTAATAATAGGAAGAGAAAAAACATATCGACACGTCTATAGTCTAAAATACTCAAGAATACTTTAATCATCGTATTTACAGAATCGTTGCCATTACATTAGTCAACTATCTATCTATCAACTAGGATTGCTCTATCGGATTTTTCACTCTTAGCGATTGATCAAGTATAGCGTTATTTATAGGCTTGCACACACACACACGCGCGCAAACACTCATACTCGCGCACGCATATACACGTTGTGTCCTTTCTTTTTTGATTGGAATTCATTTTACATACTCTAGCAGGGATAGTATATATTTTTTTAGATATTTTATTCTTAACTCACTTGACGCAATCGAAAAACTTAATTGATTAAAAAATATCACATTTCATTGCTGTACAGCTGTAATGGGAAAAAAATTTTTGTGTTTCAGCTACGTCATTTCATTGCTTCTGGATGCAAAACGATTATCCTGACATTTATTGCCTTAGTGTATCAGAAGTACAGAAATGCACATCCTACACTAAACAGTATAACAACATAATACTTGTAGTTTTTTTGTCGTTTGGGCGAAATGGAAAAAAAAATATTTTCGCTGCGTCAATTCTACAGATTAGACTAAAAGATTCTTTTAGCCAATCATGTCCTTTTATTATTATTTACTTGGCATCGAGAAAAAAAAAGATGTGCCAATACTCAAATGGCTGTGAAATTCGTAATCGAATTCAAAGCAGCTTAGATTTTTTACTGGTAAATAATTTTTATTTGTTTTATAAAAATTACTTCGGCTCATTGTGATTGATCGAATAATTGATGTAACTATTCAATTATCAAACTCTAGTTTTAATCATTTATTTTTCCATGCATCGAGCGTACGTTAATGCGTATGCTCGAGAAAATATTGTTCACTTCAGCCTTACTGTGCGTTCCTCTTATCGCCAGCGATTTCCTGTTTTATTGATATGATTGAACGTTTGGTACTTTCTGTACTTTTTAGAGCTCAAGTATTTCTGTTATAAATTATGGTATTCATGACAAAGCCAAGTGCCTTATTTTTAATGTATTTATAGACGTTTTAAAAATACGTTGCAGCTACAAGAATCAGTGTTTAAATTATAGTTGGCCGTAATACACTACGATCTAAAACATTTTTTTAATTTACCTCCCTAGATGTGAAGCATATAATGGCTAGCTCTGTACGCAATTAATTAATTACCAAAAATTAATACAGGTAGACCATGATAAACATTAATTTTTTTCGGTAAAAAACCGTTCAATTTCATTAATTTTGTGTCATTTAAAAATATCAAAACCCCATTCAAGCTGCTGCAATGCATTTTACACGCATATTGCATTTAATGTATATTGTTCGAGCACACTTGGATTTACAGTGTTGGCCTTTGTCAGCTGCCTTGAATACCGTATTATCAACCTGTACTTTTTGATTTAAAAAAAATTGTCCATCGAATAAATATGAGTCTCTGTGAATTCAATATAGAAAAAAAATAAAATAAAAAAATAAAAAAATAAATTGGTTCCCGGTACTTTGTACTCCATGGAAGACGAGGGACTGAAAAATATTACTGTGGCAGCATTCGTGTAAACTTTTTACTCATCGAACAATTTTCCTTTTTTCCCTCAAAGGAAATTTGGGGGATTATTCTAAGCTACTTTTTTTTATCAACTAATGTAATAGTTCTATTTTCACTCTCTAACGCAGTCTAGAAAAATTACAAATGAAAAAATTCGTCGTAGAAAAAATACTCGGTAGAAAAAATTTTCCGTATACAAAAGGGTACAAAATATGTTTTAGATTCAATAACACTAGAGTATCAAAGTGGTCCTGAAAATTTGTTGCTCCGACCTAAGGTCGGATCGTTTACGTAGAGACTACGAGTTATTTATACAAGCTGTTGTTTCGAAAATTTGGTTCCTCCGTAATACGCACAGGTCACCGAAAAAAAAATATGGATACACCATAAGTTTTAACACTAATGGACAAAAGCTCGCAAGCGTTAATTACAAGGTGATTACGATCTTGATTGTTTAAACTTGTTTTCCTTTCTCTTTTGGAAAATTTTATTTTCCTCGGGAGATACAGGGGCTTCAACGTCCATACGTATAGTCGCCTATCGACACGCGAACCGATTCTCGAGTCACAGGAAATCGGAGAAACGGACACAACTCACGTACTTTTGCGGGCAATCGCGCACACCGACCTACAATTAAAATCCTCAAGATACCAGGACTTTTTTACAATTTGATTATCGAGTCAGCTCTGCATATGTCTTGAATTCCACCAACCACAGCTGAAACTTTTCATTTATACTCATTGGCAAACATTAATCTTGTGATGTGGAATCGACGATTGAGGGACAGATGGTGATGGGGGAGGGGGAGGGCAATAGATATTTTCCAATCGATTCACCAATATACCGGACCGATTTCGTGAAGAGCATCACGTAACGTTTCATCAGCCAAGTAACACAGTTGCCACGAGACACAAAGCTCGGATTGGCAGCGAGTAGAGTACGGTAGCGGGAATAAATTGGATTATCGAGAGTACTCGATGGGAAAGGTCGCGCGGACTATCGCAATCACAGCATACGGTCAAATCGACGCTCGCGAGGTTCCAATACCACCCGCATCATTCGATCCCTCCCAAACCGATCATCCACTTTGGGACCTCATTGCCGACACTTGAGAGAATAACAAATGGACCCAATTGCCAGTACTTCAAAGGTCATCCCTGAGTATGAGAATCGATCTTCGGGGTGGTACCCTTTGGGCAGCGATCTGCTGGAACTTCGCGAGGGTGAGCGATCACATGAAGTACGTGGGATCGTTTTCGGCGATGCGGTCGAGGCGCACCGGCAGGTTGGTCGGTCGTCGCGGTGCCACCGACGCGGTGCTCGCGCTCTTCGTCCCGAGCGAGCGCCGCTGCTTCCTCTTCCGCGCCTCGGACGACCCCTTGCGTCATATGTAGGTGGGCTTCACTTTGTATGCCTTTTTCCATATCTCGCACAGGCACACGGTGCTGTGGAACCTACGGATGCGCGGCGTCAGTGTTGTCTCATACACGAAGAAAAGTGAAAAAAAAAAAAATGTACGTGTATACCTGTAGAAGATGGCCAGGGGCATGGAGACGTGGGTGATGATGGTCCAAGCCCAGAGACCGTAAAAGTGTAGCTGAACGGGGTGAGACTCGGCCCGTGACTTCTCCATCGTGTTGACGGCCCACATGGCCAGATTCGTGACGAGGAGGAAGGTGACGATCTCCCGACCGGGCTTGTGGCGAATCTGCTCGGCCGTGGCTACGGTCCTCTTGGAGGCGTCCAGGATGAAGATGGTCTGGAAGGTCGTCTGGACGACGCTAGCGAAGGCCGTGATGAGGACGAGGCTCGTGTGTTTCTCCTGGGTGAAGTGACTCCCGATGATGGTGAACATCGAGTAGATGAACATGCCCGTCTGCGCGGCCACGAGGAGGATGTTGTCCAGCTCGAGGTTTCGGCTGCCGTCGTAGCGCAGTTTGCGCATCTGGCACATCCCGACGAGGGTGGCCAGGGTTGACATGCCGTAAAGGGTCAGCTCGCAAATGTTGACCTCCGTCACGGCCAGGTTGACCAGTTCCGGTCGCGAGGTCAGCACAAAGAATAAGATCAACGAGATGATGGTCAGCACGAGGATCAGGATGCCTAGGAACAGGCCTTTGTGGGCCTGGGCGCAGTCGACGCTGTAGTGGTGCGGCGATCTCCTAGTAGGGGGGTGGAAAAAAAAAAAAAAGATTATGGATGTTGGGTGGGACACTGCAAGAAGTGATTGCTTGTCGCACCTGTAAGTGTGAGCGTGATGCCGCACTGGTGGTGTCGCGATCTTGTTCGGGACCGCCTTGGCGATGTTCTTCCACATGACGTAGAGTATGGCCGCGCATATGAGGCTGTACTCGATGGTGCAGGGAAAGAGGAACGGGCTTGCATCCTGGACGAGCGAGCCCATGATGTTGGTGCGCCGGCACTCGAACATGTGGTGGGGTCCCTTCAGACCTCGGGGTATCCTCGCGTGGGTCTCGTGCACGGGGTGGTGGGCGTGGCCGTTGTCGTTCAGGTGCAAGTGGCCCTTTGAACCTTTGAAAGCAGTACAATTTAACACAAAGGGATTGGGCACGTATCGGTTGGAGAGGGAAACATGTTTCGTCAAAGTATACCCAATCTGTGGGAAATTCTCAACGAGTTGTTTTCCGGGTCGTAGAACGTGAGGATTTCGTGTTTGGTCTCCTGGACGAGGACGCTCAGCCAGACCGAGAGGTTCGTGCCTATCATGTGCATCAATCCAAATCGGGCGATGACTCTGTGACTGTACACTTTCATTTGCTGAAAAATTCATTTTTTTAGTATTTTGGGAATTTTTATCTTAATTTACAATTGTATATACGATATAGAAACAGAGAGATTATAGGTATACAGCCAGGGAGCCCCCTACTTTGACTAGTTGTAGAGAAAACGAACCACCGACGAGTCATTTATCAAAGTCTCAACTCCCCAGCACCCACGGCTCCGTTGATGCGTAAGGAGTCAATATTAACAGAAAAGGCTCTCGCATCTCTTTGTTCCCCGCGTTATATTGTATACTCTATTCCTTTGTTCCATCATTTTACTCTCGCGTTGCAGAACCACGTTTCATCCTCGATTTATCATAGTTGTAGTATTTTCCAAAATTACCAATTTTAGCTCATTCATTCACAATGATATTGAAACGATTAGTTAATTTTTTTATTCATACGCCGTGCATCTCGTGAGCATGGCTGATTTTTCTCTTGCACCTCCAGTAGGTACATTACGTCCCCCAAGCGTGAAAAAAAAGGGAAAAAAAGCGCTAACGTGCAGGAAAAAGAAAAGGGGAGACGAGAGAAAAAGGGCGATGAAGCGATGGCACGGGACCTGCACGTAAAATAGTCGATATTGGCTTTTTTCTGCTTCTTGCGCTATACTTCCTCTCCAACGCTACATCGAGTAAACATGGTTCCCTCGATTGATAATCATCAAAATAGCTTCGTGAAATGAATAAAACTAAAGAAAAGTTTTTGTTGATGTGGATTGTATATCCTACACGACTGACCTTATCGTTGAGAAAGATAAAGTACATCTGGATGAAGATGAAGGCCATGCGGGTGGCGGGTGTGATGGCCATCATGATGTTGTGGCACTTGGTGTTGCGCTCTAGCTCAAAGTACTGGCCGAACTCGAGGCCCGAGTAAATCATGGAGCCAACGCCGAAGGCGACCGCACCCATGCGCAGGTAGAAACTGCCGTAGTGCTGGGCCGGCCGGTCGAACAGGTGGGGACAGGTGGACGGGTGCGGGGCGTCGCTGTCGCCGCCACCTCCGCTCGACGATTGCGACGAGTCCAGGTCGCTCGCGTCCTTCTGCTGCTGCTTCTGCTTCTCTGGGTTTTCGTGCAACGGGTGGTATATTTTATAGTCATCGGGATACTATTTTCATTTTTCATTGAAACAGAAAAAAAAAAAAACAAAAAAAAACAAAAAACTTACTCTGCTTCGGCTCGCCGCTGCAGCACATCGTGCAGGAGTACATGACGAGGAGAAAGAACATACTGCCGATGTAGAGGTAGAGGTAGAAGGCCTCGTAAAACGAGGGTGGGATGTACGTGGAAATGACTTCCGACATGGGAAAAGCGATGCCCATGACGACCAGGAGTTTGCCGTAAAGGGCGCTCAGCGTGGTCGCGAACGCGTCGCTGTAGGGCAGATGTTTCACGGAAATTAAGATGCTGATTCAATGAGGGGGGGGGGAACCTATACTGTACATGCAATTGACATTGAAAGAGAATTTTTACGTCTTTTTAGTCTGTTAGTTTATTTATTTGTTTTTTTTTTTTTTTTTTTTTTTTTTTTTTTTTTTTTTTTTTTTTTTTTTTTTTNTTTTTTTTTCAAAATATGTTCTCGGATGGTCCAAAAGGTCTCGTTTCACTGAATTTTTATGGACAATCATTGGATCCACACGATTGATTGGTTCGACGGTACAAAAATACCGCAGTTTTCATTCGTAATTGAGGCAATTTTTGTACTTTGTACAAATATTGTACGCCCAGACGGGTGGGTGCGTATGTAACGTGATACGAATGCAGAGGGAAGCAAACGTATAGCATATATTATGTATACCTATTCGTGGCGAGTCTGGTCCGTCCGTACCTACGTATGCTGGTATTACATACACATGTATGTTTTGGTGTCTGAGGGTGTAGTTATTTATAGCAGATATAATAATGTAATCCGTGCAAGAGCTATTAGCGCTGGGTTCGTCCGTTGATGGGATAATGACGGACTACGGGCGGGAAAGTAGATATTTTTTTTTTTTTTTTTTGTCCACTGGTTCCTTCGGGCTGCTTTGAATTTCAGTCTCTTGAGATGAGAGCCTGTCGGTGATGAGTACACACAACACACGTTGTGTAACGATTGGTGTTGATTTTTTCATGGTATCAAAATCTAAAGAGTTTCACGATTGATGGAGCTGTTGTTGATTTTTCGGGTGTACAAGCAATGGATTTTGTATTTATTTTTTTCCAACAATTGACATTTTTTGACCATGTAGTTGCCATTATTTATATAGATTAAATTATAGAAAAATTGGAATTGATGTATGGAGCCGATAAAATCAGCTGGATAAAATGCGAATCGTCGCCAAACAGCCAAGTGAATAATGACGATGAGGTGCACGCAACATGCATTGGAAGTGACGCTAGCTGCGAGGTGCTATTGCATACTACGACGAATCAGTTTGTACCCATACTCTGGAAAATTATGAAAAAACAAAGCCTAGTTACGAGAGGGATCGTCGATGTCGGGAGGAGGGGGGGAGGGTGGGGGTGGATGTGAATGATTGATCACGTGGACCTTGGCTGATCCGTAGAGATATCAACCCCATCCGTCGTTGTCATCCTTTGCTCACGTGAAACGGTAATGCGTCGGCGACGATGTAAAAATTGGCTCAATTGGTTGGCTCTCGTACACCTAATCGGTCCTCCTCATCCTCCTCCGCATGCAGAGTCCAATGTGTAATCGCGCGGTCACGTGACTCCTCCGTCCATCTCTTTCTTTCTCCGAGCTATCTCTTTCCTCTCTCTCTCTCTCTCTCTTTCCCGGCCATCACCTTTTTCCCGACGCCGGTCCAGTACCTATATACCTACGCTACCCATATACAACTCTGCGTTCATAAAGTACCCAATGCTCGTAATTGTGATGGACGAGCGGCTATTCACTTTGGCCGATCGCGTGGAAAATTTAAGTCGTCTATACCTGTTCTTTAATCGACAAACTGGGCTGGTGTTTTATCTGGACTTGGTGGATCTGAACAATTCATTTTCGCAATAACCAACACAAAACGATACGGAATCATTTTTTTTTTTTTTTTTTTTTTTTTTTTTCGACTAGTATATTATAAAATCAGCTTGTGTTAGTCGAGTCGTTGTACTCTCAATCGCGAAGAAGAGTAAAGAAGAATCGTGATGTTGTAGAGAATAGGGTGGAAATAAAGTCCGTTTCAATGCAGAAGAACAGCTTGAGGGTATGGACAGTCGGGGGTCTCCTCTCAGTTAGATTTCCAATCCTTAGTTATCGAGACACGTGAAAACCCTCTGAACTTTTATATATCAAAGCTTTAAAATCATGAGTTATTTCGTGATGCTAAAAGGAAATTTTATCTTTACTCGTGCAAAGTTAACCACCCAGGAGTTAAAAGGGGCTACTCAGTTAATTCAGTATACACATAAGTGATAACATGTTGGTTAAAAATAGATTGATTTTTTATGTTCCTGTACTTGCTCAGGCAGTATAAAAACACGCAATAAATACTCAAGACGAATCATCACGAATCCGTAATCAATATTGTTTAAACGATAGCACATGCGTGTACTTGTAAAACCATCGTATGAAAAAGAATTTTATAGGTACATAACATGCGTATTTTGAACCACCTGATGACATTGACGAATCTACACACGTGCAAGAATAATCAAAGTAGCACTCACCATCCCTGGTACTTCCAATTCTTGTGGGTGGTGACCTCGAGGTCGAGGTAAGTGGGCGCCGGGTAACAGACGGCAGGTATCGGCTGGCTGGTGGGACACGGCAGCGCCAGCATGTACTGGGGCTGCCGGGTGGTCCTCGAGGGCGAGCTGCTGCTGTGGCGCGACAGCGTCTCCGGAGAAACGATCACCGCCGAGGGCGAAGCGGGCGACGGCAGGGCCGCCGGTAGTCCTGGCCAACTGTCCGGGACACGACAGAACAACAAAGCGCGAGTAAGTCTACCAGTTTTATTTTTTTTTCAAACTCATTCGCCAGACCGTACGATATCTCTCTATCTCGTGCAATATTGGCCGCGTACGACCGAGTCCTCCCCATGTGTATAGGGTCTCGCTACTCGAAGTATATCGCATGTGCAAATAAAAGTCGGCGAGGCCGAAAGTTTGCGTCGTCGGTCTCTCCGGTGGATGGAAAAGTTTCCCGAACTCCTTTTCGGCCGGATGGGATTTTCAAAGGGTGCCATTCAAAGTATATGCGAGAGACACACTCGAGAGCGACAGGTAGACGTATACGTGTACGTGCCCCGATATTAACGATGATAATATTTCCCTTTTATTGATCTCTGGTCGAATTAAATGCCCTACCTCGGATAGAAAAGGGTATCGATTGGGCACTACATAGGGTGTACATCGTTGGGGGACGAATGGACGGGAGGATGATATTAAATTGAATCGACATCGCGGAGGTACAAGTAGAAAAAAAAAAAAAATAAATTCTGATGCACAAATACGACAGTGACGCGCGGCAAATCACACGAGAGCCCGAGTCAATCGACACTATATCGCCGTGCAGGCCTCTCTTTTAATTTAAGGTCAAACGTTGTACGGACGACGGGGTGTTTAATGACCGCGGACCACGTCACATTGACACTGCGCTCTCTGCGCCTCGACGCTGGTATCTCGTTAGAGATGGGTGACCGATAAATCATTTGACCGATAAATCCCGCTTGGAGTTGAGTCTTTTTCGACACCGTTTCAACTATTGGTTACATTAAAATTGCTTTTTCTTTTTTTGTTTTTTTGTTTATACCTCGAGCTGTACTTATACAGATTCAGTGTAGTACCTGTAAAAAAAAAAAAAGTACGTGCACTGAGTAGCCCTTGAACTATGTAATCATCATGCACGCATACAGACGCGAGGCGGTTTAAACACACCACGCATGTATATCCCGTATCTCTCTTTCTTCGTGCACTCGCCCGAGAAACAGCGTAATTTTGCGACTCTCAACTCATACACATACAAACAAGCCCGTCCACCAATAGAAGTATAATCACGCACTCGTGAACTCTACATAGAGTGCGCACCTTCTATTATATGTGCACGTAGGTATAGGTATACATACGTATATATTTATATCCACATCCTCGCGACTTTCAGCGGCAGTTGCCTGTTTTTCGCTTTTATTTCAAGTAGCAGCGGAGAAAAGTGACCCCAGCGGCGTTTTCGAATAATCCGCACGTACGGTGCTTCCAAAGGAGAATAGCTGCTGCTGGTACATAAGTGGAAACGAGCCAACTCGGTGGGGTACATCTTTATATATATGTATATAGGGTGGCACACGAGAGCTCGAGAGATAGGGTGTGCCGCGTATATATACACCACGATACGCGTATAATACGTATACGTAGCGCGTAATCCTCGCGTTATGAAAACAAAACGATAAAGAGACGCACACATGTTAATATAACGCGACGATTAGGCGCGACGTTAATTACTTTTCGGTGGATCTCGTTATTCCACCCCCCCCAACCCCCGCGTCTCTCCGTCGAGTGTACAATTATCAAGGGTTGACGCGATTTTTTCTCCATTTAACAAAATCTCTTTCACGTACATGTACGGTATAAGCTTTTCACGGTGTATACCTTTCTTTCGTCCCGAGGCGTAGAAAAGAAAAATTTGCTAAACTTTTGTACATCGTCTCGTCCACCACGAGAAAGAAGAGACGGTGGTAGGGGGTGGAAAACGATTCGGAGTTAGGTAGATCGACGAGACAAAGAGAGAGGCTCGAGGACCGGGAGAGGAAGAAGAAGAAAAGAAAAAAAAAAAAAAAAAGAAGGGAGACGAGAGGGAGGAGGCCGGCAATCGGACGGAAGCCGGGGGGTCGCGATATTGCGATCCTCCTCGGTTAAACTTGAAATTAAAATAGAAACGATATTTTTGTCTTTAATAATACTCGAGGGAAGAAGAAGAAAAAAAAAAAAAAAAAAAAAGAAGGGAGCAGAGTTGCAGCATCCGTGTATACCGCGCAATACGGCACCTATACGGAAGGAGGTTGACTCAGCGTTGTCGAGTGCGCCGTGCCATTGTGCAAGTCTTGCTCCCCCCCCCCTGCCTCCAGAAGTACCACCTACACGCTCTCCTCCTCGAGAGCTCCTTACTCCTCGTGTGTCCTGACCCCCCCCCTCCTCTCATCCTTTTTTTCCACCCTGTACGTGCATCCTGCTGTACGCGTTGCGTGTATATACACACTTCTGGCTCTTTTGTTGTCATTCGGAAGGCCAGTAGGGGGGTGGGGTGGCTTGCACAAGGGCCTGCATACTGAGTCACGTAGCGCCCACTACTCCGGGATACGTATTGGGCGGGGAAGCCCTTCTAAATTTCTAAGAACTGCCGCTCTCCGTTCGGCCGATCGACTGATTCTCGCTTTCTTCCCGAGCGACGCCTGGGCTGAATTATTCAACGAGAACCATGTGTATCGTACAGGACCACCTCTAAACGACCGATTTTAACTCGCGATACCCAATTTGACGAAATTGCCGGCCGTACGAAAAGTGAAGCTATTGCGCTTCCACGTGTGTTGTATTTGGGTGCACACCCTCCGAGGGGGGAGATCTTATATACATATATATATA